ACACACACACACCCCTCCTTGGCTTTAAGGCCTTCCTGGGCCAGCTGCCAGGAGCCACTCTCAACTAGTCTGAGCCAGAGATAGCAGCTCCCAGAACTCTCCCAGTGGAGCCACTGGCACTATTGGGTCAGATTCCATCCACTCCCACGTTTCACAATCCAAAGCCTGCAGAGCTAGGCAGAAGTCCCTGTCCCTGCAATCTCCCAGGAGCCTGAAGTCAGGGTCTCACTATTTCTTTGAAGGGGAGGAGAAGAATGCATTGTTACCTATCTGACAATCATCGAGTAGCTATGGTGTCTCTGGCCTGTGTGCTAAGAGTCATAGCCCAGAGTGGCAGCAAGTGCCAGGGATGTGAGATTATGTTGGCATAAATGCCGGCTTTTATTTGATATTTTGTCCTAGCATTTTAAAGGACCACAAAGCTCCTCGGATCCCTAGCTTTGTGTTGGAGTCTTAGACATCATCACCTCCCTGGATAAGGGCCGTGGAGGATGGTGGCATCATCGTGCAGCACGGCTGGTTAGAGTTAAAGGGAGTAGAGGGTGGGAACGGTCTCCCACTAGGTTAGATTCTGCAGCCTGGATCCCCTTCCCCCGGAGGGCAGGAGGGGACACGGCATGAACTTCCCTCCACACTCATGCCAGCCACACTCGCCCATCTTTTAGCTCAGGTGGCAGCCCTGGGGCAGCTTTCAATATACCTTCATAAATGTGCCTTATATGACCTGGAAGATTTAGATGTTTAGCGAAGAGAGAGGCGAAGGAGATTTTTTTTAAAAAGAATTAAAATGTGTTATGGATGGGGCTGAGGATTTAGCTCAGCGGCATAAGCACCTGCCTTGCAAATGTGCCGTCATGAGTTCGATCCCTGATACCGATAAAAATGAAAAAGAGAAAAAAAAATGTGTTATGAACCTGTATCAATTCCCCAGAGTGAATGCAGACATTACATACCACAAACATGTACTTAAAATTAAAATTTTAAGTACTTAAAATTAAAATAGATAGAATTTAGATATCTAGTGCTCCTTGATGTTCCATACCAGAATGTACCCCAGACCCAGGCCCAGCCTACAGGCTACCTTGGTCTCCCCACTTTACTCGGCAAAGGACCTCACACATACACAGGTGCAGCCCTCAGTCTGATACACAAGCGCTGTCACTCATCTTTCTGACACACCTCTTGGCAACTGCTGGTCTGAATTTTTGTTTCCTCAAATCTATGTTGGAACATAATTTCCAATGCAAAGTGATAGAATTGAGAGATGAGGGCTTTGGGAAAGTGGTTAAAACAGAGGAATGGAGCTCTTGTGATCAGAATCAGTGCCTTTAAAAAAGAGACGTGGAAGTTGGGAATGGTGATACACACTTGTAATCCCAGCACTCAGCAGGTTTAGGCAGGAGGATTGCCGCAAGGTTGAGGCCCAGTCTACACTACATGTGAGAATCTTCCCCTGCCCTGCCACAAAAAAATAAAGAAAAAAGCCATGATGTCCTTCCATCATGTGAGGTTACAGTGTAAAGATGTCTATCAATGGGAAAGAGTGTCCTCATCAGATACCAATCTTCTAGTTCCTGGATCTTAGATTTCTCAGTCTCCATAACCATGAGCAGGAAACTTCTGTGGTTTACAAATTACCCAGTCCAAGGTATTTTGTTATGTCAGCCCGATATAAGATCTCCATCCCTTGAACTTACAAGTGTACACAATAGCACAATCTGTGCTTGGGGTCCAGATAGGCCTCAGAGGGTTCTGGAGTCCTGTGCACGAGATGGTAGTTTAGCTCCACAGGAAAGGTTGTGGCCGAGCCTTGAAAAGGCCCATGCAGGGAGAATCCAGGCACTGGTCCTCATCTTGCACCGGGATTATCCAGGCTGTGTGCTGAGGGCAAAGACACACCTTGCTACTTCCCCGGCCTCTGTCACTGGGTCCCTTACAGTTCCATCTTAGGCAGTAACCAAGAAACAGGCGTACCAGTTACAAAAGAAAAAATACTGTTTATTCCACACAACTACATCAAGTGCTTCTGCCCTAGTCTGCCCTCCCCACCCTTCCCTCTAGCCGGTCAGTAGGTGCTGTCCATGCTGGGCAACAGTCTGAACCCCAAGGTCAGAATCTTGTCTGTGAGGCAGGAAAGGGAATCTGGGCATAGGAAAATGACTGGATTCCCAAGAACACAAAAACATCAGTGTTTCTCGTTCCAAACTCAAGTGTGTTCCTTAGTTCCTTGACCAAATTCTTCCCTGGACTCCGCCTGAACAGAATGGCATGGTCAGTGCAGGGTCAAAGGCCCCAGCTGATTCAGTGGGCCATAGTAAGTTTTGTTCTAAACACACACACACACACACACACACACACACACACACAAAGAAAGTGGGGCCTGGAGATTTATCTCAGCAGCATAAGCGCCTGCTTTGCAAGCAGGCAGTTGTGAGTTTGATCCCTGGTACTGATAAAAAAAGGGGAAAAAAAAAAAGAAAAAAGTTTTGTTCTTTCACTTCAAAACAAAACAAACACAAATTATACAGTTAGCCATTTCTGCCCGTTCTCCTGTCTTTCCAGGGCAAAGGAACCACCATGTTCTGGCTTAACACCAAAAGGAGGCTTTCAAAATCAAATTAATATGAACTCATTTCAGAGCCTGATCCTAAAGAAAAACAAAAACCAACCACAAAAGCCATCTCATCGCCAGGGATTTAGCTCAGCGGCATAAGTGCCTGCCTGACAAGCAAGAGGTCATGAGTTTGATCAGTAGTTAAAAATAAAAACAAACAAACAAAAAAAACCTCATCGGTGAGTGGCCTAGGCCCCACCTGCTTTCTTGGGGTCATAAGTTTAGGGGAGCAAGGGTAGAGGTCATAGCACAACAGGGAGCTCTGCTTTCAGTGTGCTTCAGACCATCTTGTGCCCCGCTACCTGGGGAGTTCAGCTGCAAATACTCCATCTCTCTGGAAGACCAACGCATCTTTCCAGTGGAGGAAAGGAAAGATTAGTTTTAGCCAGCTTGGGGAAGACAGATTTAGATGAGAGAGAAGCTGAGAAAATATAGCAAACCCTGATTTAGACCCATGGTTCATGATTTTTCTTTCCTGCCATGCCGCAGAACAGACGGTATCCTCCTGCACGTCCACACCCTGTTTTCTATGCTATTCCCAGGGCACCAGATATAACTGATTTGTTTCACACACACACACGCACACGCACACACACACACACCCCTGACTGCAAGCATTTGAGTGTGAAAACTTATGTCTCTCTAATTTCCTGAAGGGTAATCTGCAAAATCCTTAACAAACTCTGATATGGTCATGATTCCGACCGAACATGTGTATGAGATTCTTCTCAAGTGAGTCATCCTCTCCTAGAGGCACATGTGTCCCCGGACCCAGCATGTGAAGCCTCCCTGTTGGAGACATACTTGCTCCTGGGAGGCTGGATCAGGCGAGCTGCCCACCTTCCTCCTCACCCTTCCGCACACTTGCCAGGTCTGGCTAGTACAAACGTACCTGGGGACAAACGTAGATATACACAACTATCCTCTCCCTGGCAGGAATCCCAAGAGGGTGACCACACTGGCACTGTAGGGCTTTGAAGGGACCAGCAGGAGGTGTGAGAAGAAACACAGCAGCCCAGAGCAAGCTAAGCTAAGAGGTAGCTCTGCGCATGACCCACAGAGAAAAAGATATGCCCTTTCCTGGGGTCACTCCCTCATGGTAGGTGACATGAGGTGCAGTAGAGGACCTGCTTGGGACCAGGTTCTGTAAGGATGCAAGTAGAGAGCGTGGGTCACTCCAGGGACTGGTGGTCTTCAAGGACAGCTTCCACAGCAAGTTTGGGTTCACCCATGCAAATCTCCTAGTTCTTTTCTGACCTCCTGGGCTTACCCACTGATTTCTCAGGGCTGGCTAGTCACAATAAGGAAGTCAGCTCACTTAGCAGCTTGATGAGACGTCAACTCACCTTGCACATAGCTACTCCCTCTAGAGGCTAAAGCCATCCTAATCTGGGGCAATGCTGACTGAGAAGAGCACTGTGGGGGTTGCTTGCTGTTACAGTTTATACACTGTGTCAATTTGAGAAGTCTAGAAGCTTAACTCACCCAGCAGTTCTACACCCCAGGGTGCAGAGGACAAGCAGTTACCCTTCCTAGGATATTGTTCATTGTGTCAATTTGAGAAGGTCAGAACTGAAACAGTGATTCAGCAGGGGGCCAAGGTCCCTGGTTTGTAAGGTTCTCAGCCTGTGCAAGTGGAGGCCACATAGATGGCCTGAGTGCTACACCTACCCCAGGGGAGCAGCCTACATACTGCTGCTCCAGAGGAGCTCCTCTTCCCCTTCAGCTTGATCGCAGTCTCCTGGCTTCTGGCATAGATTTGTTCGGCTTCTGCCTGGGACTCTTCAGCCTTCCATCCTAGACCCATGGCCTCCTGATACAGACTTGCATGGACACTGCCGTAAGCTCTAGCCCTTAGGCTAGAGCCTTCAACCTCTAGCTGTAGGCACCCTCTGCACGCTCCCTCATTCCATTTGTGGCTGACTACTGTAAACCAATCTTGTAATTTTTTATACATTTGTATATCTTGTGTTATATCTGTTTTTCTAGTAAACTCTGATGCAGCACCAGTCTACAACCCAACAAAGAGACTTCTCCAGTGTCCAAGGCTTAAAGGTAAAAAGGAAATTTGAGTAAGTCAACTCCCAGCAGAAACTTCCCTGGGGATCCTTTCCTTCTAGATGTTGTCCTTTTCCCCAGGGCCTTCCTTCTTGGTTGGCCTCTTTTGTCTTTTTTTTTGGCGGGGGGGGGGGGGGGGGGTTGGGGGGGTTTGGGTGGGGGGGTGGGGGGGTGTCTAGGGGAAATCAAACTCATGAGCTCACACTTGCCAGGCAGGCACTGTGCCTCTGAGCTAAATTCCATACCTCCTACCTGGCCTTTTGTTGCATTTGCTTCAGTATAGGATTGAGCTAAGTATAAAAAAGAAAAAAGAGACAGAAACTCAGCATTCCTTTCCTCATGTTTTTTCAGAGCTGCCTGTGGGCTTGGGCAATGTAGTTTATTTTTTTTTCCCCAGGCTGCAAGTACAAAGATTGGATTAAAATCTGGGAGTATGGTCTGTCACTAAATTCCAGCAGCAGACCCAGGACAACTCCAGGTCCTGTTCCTCCCACAATGGATCACAAAATAAAAAGATTCTGCTTTAGTGCAATATTCTCCCACAAATGAACTGGAGAGGCGCTCACATGTTCCGGCCCCAGGGGTTAGGGACCTTGAAGCCAGACATTGTGTCCAGCTTTCTGAGCAGCAATTCACACTTTTCTAAATTTTATCTCCTGGGTCCTCTCAGGGGTTCCACGTGCCTGTAGTCAAAGTGGGGAGGGCAGTAGGAGGCTGTGGGTCCACTGGATCAATGGTCACACCTACCACAGTAGTACAAACAAGCCAAGGAGAAAAGAAAGAAGGAAGAGAATGCCATGGAAAACAAGAGCTAATGGCCAAGGGTCTTCAGGAGCTGCTACAGACCTGGCTCAGACAGAAGCTTCACTTTCCAATACCATGTTAGCAAAGTGCTTTTCTGGGTATCACCGCAAACCTCTTCCTGCGGCATGCCCAGCCTAGAGCCTGGGGCTCTCCTGGGGTCCCCTCTGCCCTCCCCGGGATGTAAGATATGGGGGGAAGACGAGGAAGGCGTCGACATACATGCACACAGTGGAGTCTCATGACTGAGGGCAAGCATGGCACAGTCGCACATTGCAAGATGACAGGCACTGTCATGGCAGTGGCGACAGCTGGGTGCCAAGAGAGGGACAGTACAAAGTGCTGGAACACAGGGCTGGAGCTGAGCCCTAGGGGATCTGAAAGACATTCAGCTTGCTGGTGTTCTTGAGGGTCTGGCGCCGATTGCAGAACCAGACACGCACAACCTCGCGGTCATAGTTGAGCTCCTTAGCAATCTCGGTGATCTCCTGGCCCGTGGGCAGTGGGTTCTTCTCAAAGTAGGCATTGAGAGCCTCTATGGCCTGGGGGGTGAAGGAAGTGCGGCGCTTGCGTTTCTTGGAGGGCTCACCTCCCACAAATTCCATCAGGTTCTGCTGGCCTTCCTGGTTCCGGAGTTCAGCCTCATTCAGCCACTTCTCCAGCACCGGCTTCAGCTTCTGGGCACTCTTAGGTGTGATGTCCAGCTTCTCAAACCTGTGGCCAACACACGTGAGGGAATAGACAGAGAGAGCATCTCGGTCTCTTTAGCACATGCAAACCTTCGAGGAAGCACTACCTCAAGGGACTGCTCCTCAAGGGCTGCTGAGATTTGACCCAGTGTCCCCTCACCACCTCCTCTGAGAATCCAAGCTTCTCAGACTCTTCAGATTCCCAGGCCCACACAGGGAAACCATTTCCGTGGCCAGCTCAGCAGGGTGATTGACAGTGCGCTAAACAACCTCACTAGAACTTTCACATCCAGAGGGCAAGCCTTTTTGAGGAGTGGCCTCTGAAGGCTCTCAGTACTGACCAGCCTGCTCTTTCTGGCTGAGCCGAAGTGTCACAGGGGTTGCTCTAATAGTCACTCTAGTCTTGCCATAGAGCAGACAAAACCATTTGGCTATCACTGAGCAACACACTTACTCGTGTCTGAAACTTTGCCATCCCACCTCTGGTTCTGATGTCGACATATAATTAGTTTGTAGATAGCTCATGGGAAACTCGGGTCTAATACTTTAAGGTTAAGTACCAAGCGGGAATGGCTTCGTGACCAGATATGGCACAGCTGAGGGCAGAGACAGAACTGCAGTCCTGGTTTCTAACTGATATGAGAAGCTGTGTTCCTTTCCTGCTAGGATTCCTGAATTTGATTTGGGTCTTGGGTTTTACCAAAAAAGATAGAACTCAGGATCCTGAGGATTGGAGGGCAAATTTCAGAGGGTAAGGGGAGTCTCTGGCTACACCGGGGTTCATGCTCCTCCTTAGGACAGTCTTCCTTATCTGGAAGAAGACAGGAGCAGAGGGATACAGGAAGAGGCTGGAGGTCCAGGTTCCCATGAGTGCCCAGGGGGCCACAGGTACAAAGTAGGCTCCGACCTGTCCAGGACAGCTTCACTCACCGGCAGATGGCTGACTGGCTGTAGGCTGGACCTTCTGTCGCTGTCAGAGCCTGGCCCACCTGGGTCTGTGTAAGGCCCAGAGAGAGGCGCCGGATCTTAAAGTTCTTGGCAAACTCCCGGATCTCTTCTAAGTTGATCCCATCCTCATCCAGGTTTGGAGTGTGCGGCTCTAGGCCAGAGGAAGGCACCAGGGAAAAGTGTATAAGATGGGCCACGTCACTGCTTATCTGCCCATTAGTATGGACTGGTGCAGGGGTAAGGGACAAGGGCACTGGAAAGGCTCGTGGCACCTTGATACCTTGTCACTCTTGCCAAGGAAGATGTGGGAAAGGCCTCTGAGACATCCTATCAGGGATGAGCTCTAACTGCTGACCCTGCCCCATGCTCCCTGGTCTTCCCCAAGCACATCAGCTGGCCATCCACTTCCCTCCAACGCTGGGTTACAAGACCACAGCAGAGGCAGCCAAGGACTCAGCCTCACGGAGAGGCAGCCAAACAGCCAGCCGAGCAGCTTCCACCGTCATCATACCCAGAATTCAGTCCAGCAGGAATGGGAACAAGGCCAACCCCCTCCCAGGGTTCGTGGTGCAGCCTGTAATCTCAGCCCTGGGGAGGCAGAGGCAGGAGGATCGCCTTGTGTTTGAGGCTAGCCTGTGGTACATAGTGAGTTCAAGGGTTCAAGGCCAGCCTGTACTAGATAGCAAGATCCTATCTCAAAAAAAAGAAGGGAAGAAAGAAAGAAAGAAGAAAGAAAGAAAGAAAGAAAGAAAGAAAGAAAGAAAGAAAGAAAGAAAGAAACCAAGCCCTTGCTGGCATGGTGGCACATGCCTATAATCTCAGCTTCCAAAGGCCAGGGCAGGAGGATCAAAAGCTGGAAGCCAGCTTAGACAATTTAGTGAGACTCTGTTTCAAAATAAAAAGAGCTGGGGAGGTATCCTGGAGTAAAGCACTTGACTGGCATGCACAAAGCCCTAGATTCAATCCTTGGTACCACACGAAGCAGGAAGAGGAGAACAACCAGAAGAGGAAAAAAAGGGTAAGAAGAGGAAGGAGAGAAGATAGAAGAAGGAAGGGAAGGAGGTGGGAAGGGAGGGGAGGAGGAAAAGGCCTGCCTCTCATACTGGGTCTTTTCCCTTTCAGTTCCAGGAAGTTTATTTACTTGAGATGGAGTCCGACTCTGTTGCCCAGGCTGGCCTTGAACTCTTAGACTTAAGGGACTCTCCTACCTCAGCCTCCCACTGAGCAATCCATATCTACAGGGTTTATTAAGGGAAACAGTAGCTGAGGAGGTCAAGGTGCTCAAATAAATGCCTTCTCCCACTTCTCCACTCTTCCACTGTGGGACCCACTTACTGGACACCAACTGGCTGACTGTGGGGGTCTCTGAGCAGGTAATTGGGACGGGAGCAGAAGCAGATGGCTTGACTGCTGGAGCCGGGCTGGCGATGACCACACCAGGCTGGGGCACGGCTGGTGTGGGCTGGATGGCCTGCACCTACGAAAAGAGAGACAGGAAGCCCCTGTTGCCCTCTACCTGGCTTAAGGGCTTGAAGTCCCTGCATGGACCAGAGGCAGAGCAGAAATGGGCATTAAAATCCTCATCATGCCCCAGCGCACTCCCACCTGTGTCATATGGAAAAGCAAGATTAGAAGCTGCTAATTAATACCCTTTCCTTGGTAATGACCTTCGGAATAAGACAGCAACTATCCCTGCCAAGCTGGAGCTCCTGTGGAGCAGGCAGGGAGCAGATCACAGTGCTCCCGTACACTCAGGCAAATCCCAAGTGCCCCCGCTGGCGGTAATGTCTCTCCTTTCTCTGCCTCAAAGGAGAAACTTAAACCCGATTCTAGAGCCTCCCAGGCCCCCAGTATCTATGCAGAGGGAGCCAGCAGGTAAGTGCGGGACCTCTCTACAGGGGAACACAGAGCTGTTCAAAAGGTAACGTAGGGCTGAGGCAGCAGCTCAGAAGTGGGACGCTTTCCTGGGGTGTGACTTCATCACCAGCATCACCAATGTCAGTAAGAACAATACAGTGTCTCTCTTAACTACCTTGAATTAAGTGTAAAGCAATTTTTCCGGAATAATACCTTTAAAAGTACAAATGCATTTTCAGAAAAATCTGTAATCATATTAAGCAAGCTACCAACAGAAATCAACTTTGGAGAGCAAAAAAGAAGGATTTTTCTTTTATTATTATTTTTGATGGTCTTGGGAATTGAACCCAGGGCCCAGTGCAAACATCTACCACTGAGCAACATCCCCAACCCAAGGGATTTTACATTTTTGCATGACATATAACATTAGAATTTTAACAAACATACAGGTGTGGTGGCACTTGCCTGTAATCTCGGTGTTTAGGAGGCTGAGGCAGGAAGATTGCCTCAAATTCAAGACCAGCTTAGACTACATACCAAGACACTATCTCAAAAAAACACCACCACCACACACACACACACACATTAACAAACACATACATCAGGAGAAACCATAAATATGTGAAATCAGTACTTTTAGTGAGATGGGAAAAAAGAACTTTCTAGGAAGTGAATGCAGATTTCTCTAGGATGGTTCAAGTCACTGAATTCTGTGTCCAATAGCTCTATCTATCCTCTCTCCATGCCCATGGCTCTGCTCTAGTTCAAAACTACAGAAGTGCCTCCTATCCGGTGACAATCATCCCAACTTCATAACTGTCCAGACCTTGGATCCACCTGGGTGACACAGTGATTTCTTTTTTAAGCACATCTGGTCAACTATTTCCATGTTTAAAAAACCTAGACAGGCCAGGGATGTAGCTCAGTGGCACCGTGCCTGCCTTGGAAAGCACAAGGTCGTAAGTTTGATTCCCAGTACCAAAACAAACAAACAAAAAACCTTAGCACCTCACTGCTTAATAATAGTAATATCAGTGAGAACAATTGTGTTTTTTTCCCAAATCCGTTTAATTTCACAGATAAAAAGGAAAAAATCTGCAACAAAATTTTAAAACAACTTTTTGCAAATGGTCTTTGTGTACCAAAGTGTCAGTGGCCTTTGTGCCTTCTGAAATGAGCACCTTTATAATTCCTATTTTTCAGATGAAGCTAAGTGGTTACTTACAAAGCTCAGGAGCACTGTAACATATTTGAGAACCTCTGGCCTCAGCGTCACCTGGTAACTCAGAATGCACATTCTGGGGCCCCACTTCAGGCCTTTGGAAAAAGCAACTTTTCGCCTGGTGGGTCCTCCAAGAGTTTCTGAGACACAGGCTCGAGAACAATCACTCTAGGGTGGCCACTTGCTATAGTTCCCCCAAAACAGCACTGTCGCATTCAACCCATCCCTCTGGATTGTTCAAAGCTCTTGCTCCATGGATCCCTGCCAGATGCCCTGGGAGGTCAGAGCTCTACTTCTCTGGGACTCTCAAGTGGCTTATTCCTGTCCCTGGCATAGACTTTTGTGCTCACTTGTAATCATCACCAACGCTGAGCCAGCAAAGGAATACAGTGGGCAATAAATAAATAAATGCTTATTGGTGGTTCACGTTGGTAGTCCCTCTGGAAAGCTGAGACAGGACAGCAGCAAGTTTGAGCCCAGCCTGGGCAACTTAGTGACACCCTGTCTCAAGATTTAATAAAAAAAGAGTGCCAGGGAATGCAGCTCAATGTGAAGGCCCCGGGATCAGTCGCCAGCACTGAACAACAACAAACTTCTGTAATGAACAAATAAATGAATAATCAAAGCCATGTTACAGGGTAAAGAGGGAGAGAGGAGAAGGGGTAAGGAATACTCCTAAGGCTTTCCTAGCAGTTTGTTTACCCTGAAGCGGCCCGAAGCCCAGGCTGCTTTGACCACATCCTCCTCCCTGGACTTCTTCAGAGTGGCACTGGCCTCTGAGGGTATAGACAGGTTTTAGTGCATGTGTGGTAGGGGATTAGAGAGGGCAGCTTCCCTGGGTAGGACCTGCGTGTGGACTCATGTAAACCTTCTACCTGGAGGCTCCCCTTCACTTTTGGGAGGGCCCCTGCTTTCCCAGGAGTTTTACAAGATGTTACCCTGCACGGCAGGCTAAAAGGAAGGCGCCCATGCCTCCCTACCCACACCCCACCCCCAGTACCTCACTCTTAGCAGGGGACTCAGGTGTGCTGGGCTTCCGGACAGTCACAGGAGGAGGCAGGGTGCTGCTGGCCAGAGTTGCAATCACCTGGCCCTGGGCATTCAACAACAGTTGGGGGGTCACAGCCTGGACCTGCAGGCTTTGAGCTGGTGTTGGGGCTGCCACGCTAGCTGAGTTCACCACCCATGGAAGTGTTCCAATGACCTAGGAGGAAATAAGGCAGGGAACCGGATGTAAAGGTAGAGTCCAGCTCCACCCCAACCCAAGTCCCCACACTGGCAGGAAAAGAGACTGAGCTGGACAAACTCCTTCTGCCCTGTTTCCTCTTCAAGAAAATGAAGGCTCTTTACTTGCAGGGTCCTGTCTTTATTCTCCCCCCGGGCCTGTGGCAGGACAGCAGCAGGTCTGTTTATGAACCAGAGAGACTTCAATGCCAGTCCCTGCTCTGAGTGGGTGCTCCATAAAGGAAATTCCTCAACTAGAACGAATGCCGCTAAGGCAGAATGGTGGCTGTACCCCTGCTCCCCTCGGTAGTGGCAGAGACCTATGAAGAGCAGCCTGATCCTGGCTGCCTCCTGTGAGCTTTAACAGACCTCCACCCCCAGCTCCAAAGCCCTCGCTTTGATCACTTGCCTGTCCCTGAGCATTGGTGAGGATCTGACTGCTGATCCCCGGCATGCTGGGGATGGCGCTGGTAATAACCGGAGTTGTAGTAAGGGAGCCCAGGATCTGGGTCTGTGCCCCGAGAGAAGCAGCGCTGATCTGTGGGTGGAGGAAGAGCACTGCTCAGAGACCACAAGGCAAAAAAGAGACCTGGACAGAGGGAAGTGGGCCAAGGGCACAGGGTGGGCAAATGCCCACGTCCATTAACTGAACAGTATACAGGGACTACAGAGGCAGAGGGGAAGTGGGGTCACAGCCATGGAACCGGTCAGGCTGTGCCAGGCTGCGAGGGTAGAAGGGTCAGACTGGAGTTAGCTGATGAGCTTCAGGTCACATTTAGCAGCCCTGCTACCAAGCCAGGAGCCACACTGGACACACACTGGCACGGGGGTGGGAGCTTCTGGCTGCACCTTAGTTTGCAATCCCTAAGACACCATCCCACCCACCAGGTTGGTCTACTGGCTCAGGTTCTGGAGCATCTGCCCAGGTCTCTGGGCAGAGGATGTCCTCTTTTGTCTGGGCTGGACAAGCTGATAGCTCCAAAGAGAACTCAGAAGGAACCCATCTCTGTGAGGGCGCTGCTGAACCCTTGGCAAAGGGCTGTTCCTCCACTGGCCAAGATTTGGTCCATCCCTGGTCAGCCCGGGGTGTGGGCAGCAGCTTACGATTCCAGGGCTAAATGCAAAGCCTGCAGGCTGGACGGTGATCTGTGGGGTGGTGTCCACTGGCTTGGGGGTGGGGGCAGCAGCGGTGGCAGCGGTGGGCTGCGGTAGAATGGCAGGCGTGGTCTGCAGCAGTGGCTGGGTCTGGAACAGCGTCTGGGGCTGGGCTGGTGGCCGGGGCTGGGCTGGCGTGGAGGTCTGGGCTGGTGGGGTAGCTTGTACGGGTGCCGGGAGAGCGGTGTTCAGCACAGCAGCTGCTACGGAGCAAGGCAGAGATAGAGGTGCTCAAATGCCTAGCCACAGCCCGGAGTAGCTCCAATCCTAAGGGATCTGGCACGAGAAGGACAGGGGTCGGGGCAGCGGGCATGGGGCAGGCAGCCACGGGTCCCTCGATCCTTGAAGGGCTGGCACATGCCAACATCAAGAACCAAATGTCGACTCTTCTTGCAGTCCTTCGCAGGAGGCTGGTCACTGGGTGGATTCTGGCGTGGGGGTAGGGGGCAGTCTCAGACAGTCGCTGAAGAAAGAAAGGCCTGCTGGCCAGCCTGGTGTCCTGGCCTAGAGTCCCAAGATGGAGCAGCAGCGGCTCTGTGACTGGGCGCCTGGGACACTGGATCCAGACTCCAGGGCAGTCACCCTGGGTGGGCTGCGGGTTCTGAGTCCAACATGGCAAGCACACGTGCAGGGGCGGTAGTGAAGGGTGTTGGGGGCCTGGTGCAGTCCTGGGGAGAGTGGCCGTTACCTTGGAGACCAGCTAACGGTGGCTTGAAAATTCCCCCCGTAGGAGAAGCAGCAGTCAGTCCTGGGAGGGCAGCCACAGTTGCTGTAGGTATTGTCCACACGGCCAGCCCCTGCTGCCCAGCCACTTGACCTGCAATACTGATGGGGATAAGAAGAGGTTGAGTAACTGCCCCTGCTGGAACCATAACTCCTGTCAGAACTGTGGCTAAGTTTTCCTGAGTCAAGACCTGTAAAAGTAAACAAGATTTCAAAAAGAAAAGAAAAAATAAAAAATCAACATTGACAGTGCAAAAACTGGGTCTGTCAGACCCAGGTGAGTACACACAAAGCATTCTGAGGGCAATGGGGAAAGGCCACAGAGGGCGGGCGGAGCCAGGCCTTAGCTGGAGCCCAAGCCTGAGGAGTGCCTGGATCACACTATTCTGCCTGCAGAGGAATCCTCCAGACCAAGTCAGGGCTGGGCCTACCCCAACCCAGGCCTCTTCTCCCACAGTCTGCTATCTCCTGGACCTTCCCTGGGCCATGGCCCACAGGACTAGTGCTTTGTGGTCAAGCATCAGGGGAAGAGGCTGCAACCAAGTAGTCAGGAGCCCAAAGAGGCCTCCAAGAAGTTCTGGGGAAGGAAGTCCCTGACTGGCTGGCTGGAGATTAGGGCATGCAGCAAAGGCCACAGGGCTCCGCATGCCTGCAGGATCCCTGAAGCAATTGCTCACTGTGCTGGGGCCACTCTCTGGCTCTAAATGAGGACTCTGAATAATCCATTAACTCTTCCACGCATTGGCTGGCCGGACTGACAAGGATATTCCCTCAGTATTGGATAAACAGGAACTCTGACAGCATGAAAGAGTTAATACAGCTTTTATAATCCTTTCTGGACCCCAGCAGATGGCCTAAGAATGGTTCCTCGTTTTTGGTCCTAGGTCAGGAGTAGACCAGGGAACCTAGCAAGACCTTGAGCCATAGCTTCTTCCCAGGACCACCTCATGCAGGGCTCCATGACCCCCCCATCTCTTGCTCTGTCCAGCTTCTGGGGTGGCCCTTACCTGGGGGGCAGCTTGTACAGCCAGTGGTGTCAAGGTCTGCGATGCTTGAGGCTGGCTTGGGGCTTGGCTGAAGGTAGCAATGGCAGGGGCAGGGGCAGGGCCCGGAGGAATCCCTGGGATTGACTTCACTTCAGATGGCATTGAGAGAAAGAAGAACAAGCAGAGTGAGCCTGGTGGAGTGGAACATCCTGTCTACAGCCTCAAGCGACACTCTCAGCCCCGGGACATATTTCTACAGAACTCAGGGCCAGTTGATGACCTTCCCTGACCCATAAGGCAGCTTGCCCAGTGCCACTTGCAGTGACACAAGGAGGCTGGGGAATCCCATGCCACATCTGGATGACAGGCTACCCTCTTCCCTCATCTAGATGAAGACAAGGCAGGTCTCTGCACAGCTGGGGATCAGTCCCTCATCTCCTGGCTCTATAGGACACTTAAGACCTGCCGCATAACAGCAGAAGGACCTGAAGCAGACAAAACGCAGAGAGGCAAAGAGCTAGAACTGACAGGAGAAGGTATTCTGGGCCCTGACATCAACAGAATTGCTGTTTAGGGAAGAGGCAGGAGTTCCTACAGGGCAAAGTTCTTGAAAACTGGACATGTCCTCACCACACTACAGGCTCTCAGGCGTCTCCAGGCCCACCACTTTTCTCTGCCACCCCCCCCCCCCAAATCTGAACTCAGATGAGCAGTTTCTGCAAGCTTCCAAGGGAACCACCAGAACTAGAGATTTTCACCTCCTCTTGCTACCTTGGTAAAGATATAGGATGCGCCCAGCAGGAAACCTCGCAGCAGTCACAAATGGTGAAAAAAAGGGTTACAATTCACACAAGGATACATGCTGAAAGGAATTTAGATGGCTATTGGACACATCAGTGGCTTGCTTTTTTCTATTTTTCTTTCTTTTTTTTTTGCTCTGTCAGAGATCAAACCCAGCGTCTTGCACACAAATGGCCGACACATTGCCATAGAGCTACATGGATGGCTGATGTAGTATATCAACTTGAGACCTTCAGAAGTTTAACTAAGAGACTCAGCAGACAGTCATATCCTTATTCTGTGCAAAAGGAGGGCAAGGAGATTTTGTGAATGCTATACCTGCCCTGGAGCGGGAAGTAGCCTGCTTCTACCTCTTTTGCTCTGGCTGCTACCTTGAAGTGTTACCCAGTACCATGCCACCCTACCTTGGAGCCAGCTGATTCTGGACTGACCTCCACAAACAGTGAGCTAAATAAACCTTTCCTTCCTTCATTTTGGATGTTGAATGTTTTGTCTCAGCAAAGAGAGAAGAGTAACCAAGACACTGCATCTCCAGTTCTTTTGAGATAGCATCTTACTAAAATGCCCAGGATGGTCTCATACTTTCAATTCTTCTTTCTCAGCCTCTTATAGATGGGATTACAGGTATGCAGATATGCACCACAACTCCCAGCTTCTTCACACTGGCTAGGCATACATTCCTAGGCCTAGTATTTAGAATGTTTAGTAGCAGAGGCCAGCAACTGACACTCCTTGTGATACAGCACATGGCTAGTAGTGGGAACCACTGAATTAAATAAAGTTAAGGGCTTTGCCCAACCTTGCAATCTTAGTTCATGTTTCCATTTGGAAAGGTATCAACCTAACTCAGAGTACAATTCACAGCATAGAATAATAAAACCAGCATGTTCAGGAAATTAAAGTGACATGAGGTATACAACAAAACCTTGCAAAACAGTAAAAGAATGGAAACAAAAGGATTATCTTGTCTTCAGGGGTAAGAAACAGTTTAACTATTGAAAAAAGGTCAAGGAAGGAACAGGTAATCTGAGCATAGGAAAATTTAAAAGACTTGTGTGCCAAAGATATAGCTCAGCAGCACAGGTGCCTGTCTGGCAAGCACAAGGTCCTGAGTTTGACTCCCAGTACAAAAAAAAAAAAAAGAGAGAGAGAGAGAGAGAGAGAGAGAGAGAGAGACTATATATTAACATATAGTCCTCGAAACTTTAGCTGGAGTAATTAGACAAGAGAAAGAAATAAAACAAAGACAGGAAAGGAAGAAGTTAAACTATCATTATTTGCAAATGACATGATACTCTACTTAGAAGACCCCAAAAACTCTACTAAAAAACTGCTAGATTTTAATAAACAAATTCAGTAGGGTAGCTGGATACAAAGTCGACACTCAAAAATCAATAGCCTTCCTATACATAAATAACAAACTCATTGAGAAAAATCAGGGAACCAACACCTTTCACAATAGCACCCCAAAAAATGAAATACCTAGAATCACTTTAATGAAGGATATAAAAGATCTCTACATTGAAAACTACAATACTTTGAAAATGGAGACTAAAGAAGATATTAGAAAATGGAGATAATATCTTATGTTCTTGGGTACGAAGAACCAATATAGTGAAAATGGCCATACTTCTGAAACTCTTATACAGATTCAATGCAATCCCAATAGCATATCTCACAAAATTAGAGAAAATAATCCTAAAATTCTTCTGGAACAAAAAGTAATTCTGGACAACAAAGGCAAGGCAGAGTGTATCATACTCCCTGACTGGAATTATGCTAAAAAGCTACTGTGATAAAAAAAGTGTGGTATTGGCAATAAACAACAGACCCAAAGATCAATGGAACAGATTAGAAGATACAGAAACAACTCCAGGCACACTAAGTCACCTTATCTTTGACAAAGATGCCAAACACATTCACTAGAAGAAAGGTAGACTCTTTAATAAATGGTGCTGAAAAAACTGGCTCTGCATAGGCCAAAGATTAAAATTGGACCCATATCTTTCACCATGTACTAAACTAAATTTGAAATGGATCAGAGATCTAAATATTAAAAACAGACACATTAAATCTGCTGGAAGATAGGGTAGGTAAAGCTCTTACAGACATTGGGGTAGGCAAAAGCTTTATGAACAAACAAACCCCAATTGCACAGGAACTATCACAAAGAATCAACAGCTGGGATCTCACCTTACTAAAAAGCTTTTGCACAGAAAGAGAAACCACCAACAGAGTGAAGAGACAGCCCAAGGATTACTATCAAAAACATATAAAGAACTCAAAAAAATCAGTCCTCCCAGATTTAAAAATCCAGTCCAAAAATGGGCATCTGAGATGAGTATACACTTCTCAGATGAAGAAATACAAAAAACAGTTAAACATCAGTGAGCATTCAAGAAATGCACATTAAAACAACCCTGAGTGGGGCTGGGGGTTTAGCTCAGCGGCATAAGCGCCTGCCTTGAAAGCAGGCAGTCGTGAGTTCGATCCCCGGTACCGGTAAAAAGGAAAAAGACCAAAAAAAAAAAAAAAAAAACAACCCTGAGTGAGATTCCACCTCACTCCAAAGAATGGCTACTATCAAGAAATCAAGCAATAACAAATGCTGCAAGGGGAAAGGAACCCTTCTCCACTGCTGGTGGGAATGCAGACTGGTGCAACCACTGTGGAAATCAGTGTGGAGATTCCTCAAAAAACTAGGATTGGAGATCCATCCGTTTGACCCAGTTATTCCCCTTCTGGGTATCTTCCCAGAAGAATTAAAAACATCACACTATAGCAATATATGTGCACTCATATTTATAGCAGCACAATTTGTAACAGCACAATCTGGGAAACAACCAAAATGCCCAGCAACTGAGGAATGGATAAAAAAGATGTGATATTTTTATAAAATGGAGCCCTACTCAGCCATAAAGGACAAACTGGAGTCTTCTTCAGGTAAATAGATACAACTTGAACCCATACTCATAAGTAAAGTAAATCAGACAGTCATGTGTAAACATCATATTGTCTCACTAGTATGAGAAGCTGAAAGAAACAGTATATGTATATGTATATGTGCGTATATAAATATATTTATATACATTATAATTAAGATAGTTGTACTACTAATTGCTCTGAGTTCATTGAAGAGAAGGATTTGTGCTGATACTGTTCCAACAACTGAATGCAGATGTCTTGTGCTCTGGGTGAATAATTTAGAGAAGGCAGTGCACAATGTATGTACCATTGTTGCCTCCTGATTGTTGTGTTTTGAAATTGTGTTTTATTTTTTTCTCTTTGAAATAAAATGGATTTGAAAGGAAGAAAAAAGAATTGTGTTAAACAAAATGTAATGAGACACAAAAAGCTAAGTGAAAAAATGTGAACCTGACAGCTGTCAATGAGAACTGCTTAACCTCTAAAGAAATGAAACATTTTTAAAAATAAGAATGTATTTCCAGACTAGGACCCCAGAACCCAAGCATTTACATACATATGGAGTTTCTTTCTTTCACAGGACCACTCAATTGAGGTTTTATCATTGTTTATTTTCTGAGCTAACGGACATGTGGTACTTTAAAGCCAACTGCTTTTCTTTGCAGTGATAATACAACATTTTTATCTTTCCATATGATGACTTATGTCAACAATTAACCTCTTATCAAAAGGAATGTGAGTGGACTACATCACAAATAAGAATTTTAAAAAGTTAAAGGAACAATACAAAATGTTCAAGGCAGCATCATTTATGAGAATGAAAAAAATCAATTTGATGATTGCCAAAATCAGAAGCAGGTATATGGGTCTATGTCAATAAGGGAAATGAGCACATCAAGAAATGGAGTGAAGGAAAAAAAAAAAAGAAATGGGATGGGATGGGCCTGGGATATAGGTCAGTGGCAGAAGCAGCTTTATGGCAAGTACAAGGTCCTGCATTCGATTCCTTGTGCAAAGAAAGAAAGAAAGAAAGAGAGAGAGAGAGAGAAGAAAAAAGAAAAGAAAGGGAAAGAATCAAGTGTCACACTCCATATTCTACCTTTGGTGGTATATATTGTCTGACAAGGAGTAGACAGTAAGAGTGACACAAATCACTGGATTGTTTTTAATTCTGAAAAAATTTCCTATTACTTAGTTTTGTTTTAATAAAAGGAAATCTTTCTTCATATTGTACAACCAGAAAGGTCCCATCAATCTAAATTGGCAGCTTCTTAGTTCAACTGAAATACTTCTGCATCTGCCTGACAATGAATACAGTTTCTAGCTGGGATTCTGCTACAATCTCAGCACTCTGGGAGGCTGAGGCAGGAGGATTAGAAGTTGGAGCCCAGTCTAGGCAACTGGGTGAGATCTTGTCTAAAATAAAAAAATGGGTTGGGAATATAGCTCATAGCAATGCCCCTGGGTTCAACCCTCGATACCACATACACACACAAACAGTAAAATTATTTCATGGGAAGAAAAACTTTCATAAAATGTTTTAAAAATACAAACCTCTAAAAGAAGAGGTATACTACCATAAACATTTATACATTCATGCTAACGTGTTAATAATCAATTTAGGATTCCCTTCCCCCTACTGGATTGAATCCAGGGCCTCTGTACTGAGCTACACCCCAATCCCTTTTTAAATTATGAGATACACTAAGGCCATGGATTTGGTTCAGCAGTATAAGCACCTGCCTGACAAGCATGAGGTCATGAGTTCGATACCCAGTAGGAAAAAAAAAATTATGAGCTATAGTCTTGTTAACACAGGTCGGACTCAAACTTGTAGTCCTCTTGCCTCAACTGGCAGAGTGCTGGGATTACAGGCATGTACCACCACTCCTGGCTTAGAATCCACTTCCTAAAGTAAATTTGATAAGGAGTAGAATTAAGGCATTAGAAAAAAAATGAGATGAAAAATGGATCAAAAGATAAGAAAAGTGAAGTTGGGGCTGAGCACAGTGGTGCACACCTGTAATTCCAGCACTCCAGGAGGCTGAGGCAGGAGGACTGTAAGTTCAAGCCCAGTTGGCAATTTAGTGATTTAGTGAAATCCTTTCTCAAAATTAAAAAAAAGGAAAAGAAAGGAAGACAGAAAGAAAGGAAAGAAAAAGGAAGGAGGTGGAAAAGGAAAAAAGAAAGGAGGGGAAAAGGGAGGGAGGGAGGGAGAGGGCAGGGAATGTAGTTCAGCACAAAGGCCCTGGGTTCAATCCGCAGCATCAGAAGAAGAAACTGAAGTTGGGGCACCATGGATAACCCCAAGAAACCTCCTGAGCAACCTCATAATGGCTTTACTGAATAGAAAGGGTGACAGAGACGTAAGAATCTTTGTCTGTCCTGCCCACTGTCCAGGGAACTGCCTCTTGGAAGCATGTAAGGGTCCATCCAGGCCTCAGCCTGCATATGCAGAGCATTTCCAGGCTAGGGAAAGATGGTCCTGTCTCTTGTCACTCCTTTATTCAAAAGAAGAAGTAACTGAGGTCACTAAGGTCCCAAAGGACCTGCATGCCAACCTGTAGGAGAGCACAGTGAGGCCACACGGTTTCCTTGTTCAGGAGCTGCTGCTCCTCTGAGGTTGTCTGTTCCCATCTGTTCTCAGCTCTTCCTCTCAGCTCTGGCCTCAAACTGCCAGCCCAAATCTCCCATCTAGGGAATGGGTGAATGCAGCAGAAGACAAGAGGAGATGAAGGAGGGATGAGTCATGGGATTCTAGGGAAACTGGTGAACGAAGCCAAGACTTCCTACAAAAGAGATGTCTGCAAGGTGCCGACAAGGAAAGTTAACAAAAGGGCACTCCAGGGCCACAAGCAGGGCTGCAACCACACTTGCCCTCCAGACAGGCCTCACTTTCACAAGTGTCTTGCATCAGAATCTGGCTGTCACCATAAGGTCACCTTTACAGAGGGACCGTACCTATACATCTGAGAAGAAGGAGCAAACTTTCTCAGGCTTCTACCTAATCTACACCCTTAGTCTGAGGAAGATAAGATGTCGTTCCATGCTTAGCTCCAAGACCTCCTGGCCCAACCACAAAAGGATGGAGTTGGAAAGGTTGGCAGGATTCTGAGAGCCCAGTCCTCTGCATTGGGCCTCACAGTGTGGTTTGGACTTAGGACCCCTCTAAAGTTGATTTAATCCCCTAAACTGAGCCCTGACATTTCTTTCCATCTTATCCTGAATGATCCCAGTTTAGGCCTGGTAGTGACTGCAAGGAAAGCTAGGCAAAGGAGTGTAGAGTATCCCTGCTGGCCAGCAGTACAGCCCAAGGCCAAAGGCTGTCCAATGGACAGGAAGACAAGATCCTGATGTCATCTGGACCCTGGGACCAGGGTGTTAGCTTTCCACAGGAGGGGCCCAGGGGTGTGCTACCAGATCGGAGTGATGGGCTCATACCAGCAGACTCTGCAGAGGGATCTGGGTTGCCTGGCCCAGCTTCACCAGCAGGTTCACTGGCTTCAGCAGGACCCCTGCCATGGGAGTTCTCGGCAGCCACATTCTCCAGTCCTTTGCCATCTTCCTCAACAGGGAGTTGGGCATCCACACCAACTTCCAACACTCGGATGGTCTCGTGGCCTGACATCACGATGACCTACAAGGAGAAGATGGAGACATTTCTGGGGGAGGGGTTTGCATGGACCTTGGGGTTAAGTTCTGGGTGTGGCTAGGGGACAGACAAATGAACACTTCAGGAAGCAGACCTCATACCCAGAAACATGCTTGCTCTTAGTTGGCCATGGCCAAGGCTAAACCACCATTCTCCCTGATTCCAGAGAAAGAGCTGCTAGGAGAAAGCAGGCCCTGGGGACAGGGAAGAGGGTCTGACAGGAACTGCGCAGAGTCCCACAGAGTCAAACTCCTTGGGAGTTACTTCTATTTGCTTCCCTTTCTGAACTCAGGAAAGGAGTAGGAAATGACCTACCCACAACTTGCGGGGATGTCCTCTGGGGAACTAGGACACTGCAGCATGGCCTCCTGACATGACATTCACACCTTCAATTGGGCCAGGGAACAAATTCATCTGTTCTTCCCTTGAAACCACCAGGAAGATTCTCAACATAAAGGGCTGGGAATTGAAGCCTACAACGCTGCCTGACTTTTTAAACTCAGGATACTTTTATTGGCAAAACCATACAGTGAAGGGCCAAGATTTTTCTGCAAGTTAACTTCCTGGAAAAAGGGTTGGGCATCCTGAAGATACAGCCTCTCCTGCCCCACACTGGCCTGCTCAGTCCTGCACATCTGCCACCCATGCACCCAGGACCAAGTAGACCCTGGGCCCTTTGGACACTCGGTTTCCTGCTCCTACTCCCTACATTCAGCTCCTTATCTCAGCATTGAAGTGCTGCCATTTGGGCCCTTTGAGAATCAGAGAGAGAGAGAGATCAGAGAAAAACATGCATGAAAGAGCTTTGTGTCCGTCATCTCTGGCACTCAAACAGTGTCTGAAACCTCCCACAACACACTTCTGAACCTGAAAACTGTACCCAGCCAGAGACTGGGTGGACAAAGTGACAATGTGATCCATCGGGAGAGTGTGTGTGAAATAAATCCTGCAAAGCAGGTCACTTCTGCTGACTCAAACTTGACCTATGAGGGATCTCACTCCAGTTACATTTTAAGAGGTGCTAGTCTTTTTTCTCCCTTTAAAAATGATACAGAGATTAAATAGCCATTGCAAAAATATCACAAAACATAAGTGAGAAGAAAATAGATTAAATCACCTGATGATCAACTCTTTCTTCATGTAAACTCAAATATATCTATGTACTCTAATTTTTATTTTAAAGTCACAGCTTAAATCACCAAACTTAGCTCCTGAGAAATCCAGGCTGAGCAATTTCTCCTGGACAAGTAAAGTAGCTGTAAACTTGGTCTGAAACCCATGCTGGGGGGCTTTGTGGAGTCCTCCTCCCTTGCCCGAATCCCTTGGCCCACCATCTTCACCTCGTCTTGGCCCGGAAAATACCTGCTCATTGACAGTCAGAGATGACTCGGACCCGGTCCCAGGATCCATGGTTGCTGGTCAGGCTAGGGTAGTAGCTGGCCCACACCTAGCGTATCCTGGGTAAGATAGGATTGGAAAAGCAAGCGCTGATGTGACACAGTAATGAAATTCCCAGACCACCTAGAAAAATCAAAAATAGAATGGTAGGAAGGTAAAACTACAAAAGAGAAAAGGATTTTTTTTTTTTTGTCTTTTTGAGACAGGGTCTTGCTATGCAGTTCAGGCTAGCCTTGAGCTCACTTTGTAGCCCAGACTGGTCTCAGACTTGCAATGATTCTCCTGCCTCAACCTCCTGAGTACTGGCATTACAGGCGTTAGCCACCATGCCCAGCCTGTATATTGGTTTTCTTCTTTTTTTTGTCTTTTTGGGACGGGGTCGCACTATGCAGTTCAGGCTAGCCTTGAGCTCACTTTGTAGCCCAGGTTGGTCTCAGACTTGCATCGATCCTCCTGTCTCAGCCACCTGAGTACTGAGATTACAGACATGCACCACTATGCCTGGCTAGAACAGGATTCTAAGAACTGTAGGATCTTGCTTCCTACAGCTTCCCAAGGGAACCTACACACAGGAGGTAATGTGCTTAGAGTGACAAAGGAAAGGCAGGGCCAGGCATCTGTCCTTGGGGCTTCCTTGGTCCAGTGGAAGACAGCATACTCAGCAGTACCGAAATGACCTGACAGACACTCGGAAGCTCAGACAAAAGTGCTTCTTGGGGAAGAAGTCTGGATAGAACTTCTGGAAAAAGATAGTAAGGACATAAATTAGCTAGTGGCACATGCTTGTAGACCCAGTTACTCAAGAGGCTAAGACAGGAAGATCTCGAGCCCAGGGTCCACACCAGCCTTGGCAATGTAGCAATAAGCATCTCAAAAAAATAAAAAAGGCACAAATTGACACAGTGGTTTTAGACTTTAATATGTGTGATTACCATCTGGACACTTATTAAAAATTCATCTCTCCAGGCCCCTTTCCCCTAAAACCCTCAGGAACTCTGACACAGTGGATGAATCCCACAGAATTAACTCCTACCTAGGTGATTCTGCAGCAGTGACCTAAGGACCCCGATGGCCTATACACATATGAGAGGCAGGACATCCCAGATGGTGCAAGCAGCCTGCCACACGCAGTGAGGAATGGGTGAGCCCCATGTGGGACAGGTTGACTGCAGCCACAAATCAGTCATAAGAAATAAAAGGGATACATAGGTTTAGACATTTATATAGGAAACAGGTCGATTAACATTTCCTCTGAGTGCCTACCTTGGGCTAAATACGTAACACTAATTGATGTATTACACATGCCAATACAGGGTGGGAGGTAAAGACATTATTCACCGAATTATACTTGGGGAAACCAAGAGAGGTATTCTGGATTCCATACTTTTCCCTCTTTTGCCCCTAGGTTTGCTTGTTGCTGTTGTTTGTGGAGCTGGGGATGGAACCCAAGGCCTTACTTGGACTAGATAAGCACCCTACCATTGAACTCACCCAGCCACCCACTCTATGGTCTGAAGTTTGTGTCTCCTCCAAATTTGTATGCTGAAATCCTACCCCTCAAGATGATGATGTCAAGATGACCAGGCTATGAGGGAAGAGCCCTCATGAATAGGATTAGTGTCTTTATAAGACACCCTAATCCCTTCCACTGTGCGAGGTCACAGCAAAAAGGAAGGAACAGGCCTTCCTCCATGGACTTCTCAGGCCTCGGAGCTGTGAGATGTGAGTTGTTTATAAACTAACTAGTTTATGATATTTCATTACAGCAGCCCAAGCAGACAAAGACAAGGCACAGAACATAAAATTAGCCATTTTTTAAAATATTTGTTGTGCTGGGGACTGAACCCAGAGCAAGTGCTCTATTTATCACTAAGCCACATTCCTGGCCTCTGCTTAGCCATTCCACAGCATACAATTCAGTGAAATTGCACACATTTGCAATGATGTGCAACCATCACTGTCTCTCATTCTAGAACAACTGCATTAACCCAAAAGGAAAACCCATGTCCACTCGCACACACCTTCTGCCAGCTCTTGGCAACCACTCTGCTTTCTCTCTTTATGGATTTGTGGATATTTCATAGAAATGAAATTGTACAATATGTGGCCTTCTTTCTCCTCAGCATAACGTTTTTAACATTCACCCTTGCAGTGGTACGTAGTATTAGAATTTCATTCATTTCAATGGTTAAATAATATTTTACTGTGTGGATCAAATACATTTTGTCTATCCATTCACTAGTTGAATATTTGGATTGTATCTGCCTTTGGCTATTGTCCATAGTGCGTCCATGAATATTTGCACACAGTTTGTTTAAACATCAATTTCTAATTCTTTGGGGTGTGTACATAGGAGGAGAAATGCTTGGGTTTTAGCATCTTTGCCCCTAGGCAAAATGTTCCCCAGTCAAGCAGTCAAGGAGAACCATGAGGTGCCTTCCCTCCTCTCCTCTCTCCAACACTTCTAAAGCTGGGGTCAGGGAAGGACAAGCAACTAAAGATAAGGAGCCATTTGAAAAAAAAGTAAACCAGCTTTCCCTCTTTAAGTAGGACAGGGGTTTAGGAGGGGCAGAGGAATTTTCTAGAAGAACAGGTGAGCATCTGCCTACCTCACTGGGGCTCTGGCTTCACGACTGGACGATGTTCCTGTGCCTGCCCAAATGTTGCACATGGGAGTCTTCCATGACTTTTTCAGACAACTTGGCAATTTACCACCACTTCTGGGTGAGATTTGAGATTGCTATAAACAGAAGTCAAAAAGAAAGCCATCTGCAAATTAAAATAAGAGGCAGAGATAAACTTGAAAGGAAAGGTGTACATGGTGAATTGGGTTCCTTATAGCTTGATACACACATTTCACGGGGAGAAGAAATTTCTGTTCCAATGAAGGCCATCAGGCAAAGGCGGCAGTAGCCAGCCATTGAGGCATCTGCTCCAGAGGGGCTGAAAACCTGCTCATGGTCCTCCTGAGACCTTTGGTTCACTGCTGTCAGCCACGGCCACGCCAAGGCATAGTTAGGGAGAGGGAAGCGTCCACTTTGTGACTGTGTTATTGGGGCTGAGCTGAACAGTGCAGCTCATCCCCTCCCCTCTTCACTTCCTCTTGAGGTCTTTGCAGCCAGTCTGATAACTGTCAGATCTACATCTCCATCCAGCCTGGACTTCACTGGGGAACTCTGCATTTGCACATCCATTGCCTACTGCTGGCTTGTCTCACTCTATCAGATACAAGTGACAGATTGGCATGGGTGATTCTCAGAGCTCCTCTTCCCTTGAGTCTGTTGAGTTATGAAGATTTGTGTGCTCAGTGTCTGATCCTCTGTGTCAAGGGCAAGGTCAGGCCTGAGCTAGAGTCTCTGGCCTCACCTAAGTCCACTAACCAGACTAACCAGACTTCAGCCATTGGAAATCCAGGCTGAATGGCAGCCTAAAGACACATTTGTCTCTCAAATAACAAACGCCTCTGTAGATACCTAGCACTGTGACCGTTCACCAGGTGTTCTCCTTCCCTATGCTTTTCCTGGGCCTGCTCCTTTCCTTGCCCGGAACTTTGTTCCCCCGAGCCTCAAGTTGGCATCCCACTGACTAACAGCCATCTTCAGTTTGCTTTTTGACCATTTCCCTAGTGACTGGGGAAAGGACACTGCAGTGGCCTCCTTTGATGTCAGGATGCCATATCATGTCATCCTGAGATCAGGGAAGAGAGACAATCAACTGTCTGTTTCAAGACAGCATAAACAGATCACAGTGCAACTGCTCTGGTTTAAGCTGGGTGGGGCAGGAACTGAGCCCCACAGCGCCTTCTCATCTTCTTTCTTCAGAGAGTTAAGTTTGATAAGCTCTTGAAGCCAGCCTGGCAAGGCATCCAGATGGTTCACTTATCCTTGCTCTCTGGTGCTGGTGTCTAAAACTCAAGCAACCCCAGAACAGAGTGATCTGTGGGTGCGGAGACATTTGCCCTAACCTAAGAACCAAACAGGTCCAAGGCCATCCAGGAGATTCAGTACAAAGGGATGAGCTAGAGGATTGGCTTGCTTGCCCCTCTTCTCTGGGAACTGCCACAGTTTAAGGCAATATCCCGAGGTACGCGGGAGGAATGCTGAGAAACCCCAAACGCGGGAGGAATGCTGAGAAACCCCAACTCAGAACTTCCTAGAGCAGCCTGAGCTCCTACTAAGAGAATTCCTGAGATGGCTTGGCCTCTGTTTAAGCAACAAGTATGTCTGTGGCTACTCTGTGCTGGGCTTTTGGGATGCAATGGAAAAAATTTCTCTTCTTTGACAAGCCTCCAGTCCACCATGGAGGTAAAGGAAATAAAAAGGTAAATCCTATAGGGTATGTTAGAGATTGAGGATTTAGCTCAGTGATTTGGCATCTGCCTGGAAAGAGTGAGGTCCTGAGTTCGATTCCTGGTGCAAAAGAAAAAGTTAGGATAGGGTATGCTTAAGTGTCACAGTAGACAGTGGAAGACCCCAAGATCCTTGTTCCCAGGAAGCTGTTTCAAGCCTGACAATTCATATAAGAAGAATCTTACCCTATGTAGGAAAATGGAACTTGTGTATGGGACGCATATTTGTTACTCAGACACATTTGGGTGGTTTTAATCCCTCGCTCAATGTGGTTGGAGTTTCTGATGTTAAAACACCTCCTCACTATAGTCTTTGATGGGGGTTTCCCTGTGCAAAGTTAGCAGACTCTGAGGAATGGCTGGGTAGACTAACTTAATTTCTTTCTTTTTTTTTTTTCCGTTGCTAACTTCACTTCAGAAACTAACTTAATTTCAGTCTAACCATTTTCATGTGAAGGAAAGTCACATTTATTGGGAAGTCACCTTCCCCTCACCACCACCCAGGATGTTTCCACTGAGCTACATCTCTCAGCTCTTTATTTATTTGTAATTTTTAAAAAGACTGGGACCCGGGGCTGGGGATTTAGCTCAGCGGCATAAGCGCCTGCCTTGCAAGCAGGCAGTCGTGAGTTCGATCCCTGGTACCGATAAAAAGGAAAAAGACCAAAAAAAAAAAAAAAAGACTGGGACCACAGGCAGCTGGGGCTGAGCTGAATGGTGCAGCCTGTCCAGTCTGCTCTCCCTCCCCAGGGGGTCTCATCCAGTCCCACAACTGCCAAGCCTCAATCTGCAGCCTGGACTGTATCTGGGAACTCTGGGTTCATACATCCAACTGCCTGCACACTGTGTACATCATCTCCCTCTTCACACGCCAAAGCCAAACTCCCAATTTCTATCCCCAAACTGCGCCTTTCGCACGCAGCCTTCCCCGTCTCGGCAAAGGGCAGCTTCAGCTTTCTAGCAGATGCTCGGGCCTTGCTGTCAGCCTGCCCTTCCCTTTGGAGGCCACCTCACACTTGCTTCTCCAGCAGCAAATCCCACTCACTGGCTCACAGGTCAGAGACCCAGAGCCCTCCCTGTGCTCACCACACCACCCACTCCATACGGCTTCAGTTCAGCCCTCCTGCACCAGAGTAGTACCTGCCCTGTGCCAGGCTCCAAGCAGATGAGATGTCAAGTTGTCGCTGCCTTGTGGATTTTCTGTATGTTTTCTTACCTTTCCTATTCCTGGCCCCATGCTACCTGCTGAAAGATAATAATCATTCAGGGCCTTTACATGGACTATTAGAGTTGGGTGCACCCTCTGAAGTAAGATCACTGAGCTCCTAATTCCAGCTTTTTTTGTTACACCCTTGGGGGTCCAACCGCAGGGCGGTCTACCACAGGGCTACTCTCGTCTTTTTTAATTTTTACTCTGATTCAGGGTCTCACTAAGGAAAACTGGTCTCAAACTTTTGATCCTCCTGCCTCACCCTTTGCAGTAACCTCAACTTTGATATTTACCAGGTACAGGATTTTGGAGAAAAGATTTAATGTCCACTTCTCAGTTTCCTTATCTGTAAAAACAGAAATAACAGCACATACTTAGGACTACTGTGAAGACCAAATAATATTTTTTTTGGTCTTTTTGAGACAGCCTCTCACTATGAAGTCCAGGCTGAACTTGAACTCTGGCAATCCTCCTGCCTCAGCCTCTTGAGTGCTGGGATTATAGGCATGGGTCACCATGCCTGCCTAGGACATAAATTAATGCATGTACAACATTCACATCAATGCCTCGCACATGCAAAGTGCTCAGAAAGTGGCAGGTATAACAATTTACATATATTATCTTAATAACATATTTCACTTTAGTGTAAGAGTTAAGAATTTAGATTCACCTCTCAGGTTCACCATTGCTTAGCTGTGAGGTCCTGAACAAGGGCCCACCTTCTATAATGAAGGTATAGTGTTGCATAATGAAGGAGGTAATATTGTAGGAGACTGTATAGGAGTTCAATAAATGCTATTATTCAGTTCTAATACCAGCCCTACAAAGCCACAGACCCAGTGATTAAGTAAATAAACAATACAGTTTGACCAACTGTGTGACTGTTTGTAGGTAGACTGTTTGTAGGTAGGTTTGTACTTCTTTGTTATCTAATTTTTTTCTCTTTTTATTTGTGTGTATGTGTGTGCATGCACACATGTGCTTGTATATGTGTGTATTCACAGTGCTAGGAACAGAACCCATGGCCCTAAGCATGATAGGCAAGCACTCTACTACTGAGCTACGACCCCAGTCCTATTTCTCTACTTTCTCACTGAAAAATCCTACAAAGCTTACTTTGAAATTATTCCACTAGACACCAAGAACAGTATTAACTTACCCAGCATGGTGGTGAGACTGAGGTAAGAGGACTGACTGCCAAGAGTTCGAGGCCAGCCTGGACTACACAGTGAGTTCAAGGCTAGTCTGAACTATACAGCAAGACGCTGTCTCAAAAAAAAAAAAAAAAAAAAAAATCCCCAAAACCAAAAAAACAACAACAGCAAACAAAAGAACCATAATCAGTGAACATTATCCCCATCTTATAGATAAAAAAAGCTGAAAGTCAGAGCAAGGTACGGGTCAGGTATGATGGCGCATGCTTGTAATCCTAGCACTTGGGACGCTGAGGCAGGAGGATGGTCACAAGCTCAAGGTCACATAGCAAGAGCCTTCTCAGGAAGGAAGGAAGGAAGGAAGGAAGGAAGGAAGGAAGGAAAAAGATGGGGTACCATTTTCAAGGAAAATCTAGATTCAAATACTGGCTCATTCAGTCCTGAAACAGTTGGGTGATCTTGGGCAACTTACTTAGCCTCTCTGAGTTTTGATCTCTTTATTTTTAAAATGGTAATTAGCCTCCCCACCAGTATTTATTGATTTTTGTATTGATGATAGTCATGCTGACTAGGTAAGATGGGATCCTCATGGATTAAACAGTTGAGCTTTAAGCAGGCTGTTCTAAGGATCCCACGAGTGCATGTCAGTGAAATGCTTAGCATAGTACCCTTCTCCCTGTCCCCATGTTTACCTAGAGAGCCTAGGAGAGCAGCCACACCTACCTGCCTCCTGACCCCAGCAGGGCCTCTCAGGAAACAGGCAGGTCAGTGGGTACTGCTCTGGCCCCGGGATGAGGAGGAACTGAAAACAGGTTTTTAGTTCTGCTCCAGAAGCACCCATCCCAACCCTGGAGCCCTGGGGGGAGGCAATGGCTGGCTACAAGTTGTCTGTGGACCAGCGAGGCACACAGGCCAGAAGCATGTGCAACGTTCACAGTGGGAAGTGACACAGAGATAGGAGTGGTAGCAACTGGTCTTTTCTTTCTAAAACACTCACCACAAAGAGTCAAGACTAGTTTCTTTCTTTCTTCAGTTCGTTCATTCTTTCTTTCTTTTTTTTGGAATGGGTGAGTTTTGAGATAGCATCTCACGGTACAGGTCAGGATGGCCTTGAACTCCTTTACGTAGTGCCTGGGCTGGTCTCAAACTCACAGTGATCCTCCTGCCTCACACTCCCAAGTGCTGGGATTACAGGTGTGCTTCACCTTGGCCAGCTCTAGCAAAGACCAGTTTAATAAAGGCAGATTAAATTTAGCTTCTTAAAAAAAATTCATTTCTTCTGCTGCTGCCTACTCCCTTGTACTCAATTAGATTCATCCCAGGAAAGATAGAAGGTGTCCATGAAACGGCTATTTTGTTTGTTTATTTTGCTATGCTGGGGATTGAACACAAGTACTTATACATGCTGGATAAGTTCTCTACCACTGCGCCACATTCTTAGCCTATCTAGCTAGATGTTTATCTATTTCAGTGCTAGGAACCAAATCCAGAGTGCTCTATACTGAACTATATCCTAACCCCTTTTTTATTTTACTTTAAAACAGAGTCTAGATATTGCTGAGATTGGCCTTGCGTGTGCCATCCTCCTGCCTCAGTCTTCCAAGTGTTGGGATTAGAGCTATGCACCATCGCATCTGGCTCCAATTTGCTTCTTTGTGGTTCTGGGGATTGAACCTGGGACCTGCACAAGCTGCCTGCCTCCTACCTCTACCACTGAGCCACATCCTCAGCTTCCCTTTTCCAAACTGCCAGGTAAGTACCTCCAGGAAGAAAAAGCTCATCACAGACACACACGCACATCCCACTTGGGTTATAGTATCATTTTATTTGTGCTCATGTTTATTATGATCTGCTTGCCTGACACAGAATGAAAGCTGCAGGACAGAAGAAAAAGCTTTACCTGGATTGTTCAAGGTATGACACTTAGTGGCTACTTTCCTCGAACCAATGAAGGAATGAATGAAATTCCTCAGCAGGAATGCAAAGGAGTCCCAGGTTACAGAAACAGCACCCTGGGCACCAGGGCTTCCCTCGAAATGGAATTCTTGGAATCATTCCTCCGAGGGCCTCTGCCTGTTGGCGCTGGCTACCTTGACTGCCAAGGTAAGGGGAAGAGATATGCATGCGCTGAAAGGAAGAGCAGCCCTCTCCTCTGGAAACAAGGAATGAGAGGAACGGAAGAGGCTATAATCTCAGCGCAGAGCCTCCCGTCTCTGGTCAAGGAAGGCTGCTTGACTCTTACGTCCCTCTGTCCGGCAGCCGCTGCTCTGTGCCAGTTTTAGGCAGCTGAGTGGCGGATTGCCAGGCTAAAGTGGACGCTAGAAGGCCCTCTAGGCTTCCTCGGCCTCACCAGGTGCGAATACTGAGGAAGCATATACAGGTCCCATTATTCTGACTATTATTAATAATAATACCGTGATTAAATATTTATGAAGCGCTCTCGCGCTGCTCGACGGTGACCCTCCCGTCACTCCCTCAGCCTTCCAGGGACACTCCGGGCTCTAACCCCGGGTCCCTCCGTCGTTCCCCAGTAGGTTCATCTGGGAGGAGACCGGCGTCAGGTCGCCCAGGCCGCCTCGGTTGGACCTGACTGCGGGGAACCCGAGCGAACGACGAAGTCCCCTGCGGGGCGCAATCGGCCCCGGCCGCCACAGGGTCGGTGCAGAGCTTTCTGGCGCTGCGTCCCACGCCTGGGCTTCGAGGGCTGAAGGGCCAGGGCCAGGTCCCGCCGGGTCCACCTGGCGGCCGCGCCTCCCTCGGTCTGAGCGGGGCCGGAGCAGGCGGGCGGGCGGGCGAGGGCGCGGCCCGGGTCCGCAGCCCCAGGTGGGCACCGCGCGCGCCCCGCTCCAGAGCGCCCGCCGCCCCGGCCCCGCGCCTTTTTCTCTCTTTATCATAAATATATAAATTATGCTAATTACGGGCATTGCATATTAACCAAACCCGAAGCCTCCCCTGCCCGGCCCCCTCCCCCTCCGTGCAAACCCCTCCCCGCCCCGGACCCCGCTACTCACCGAAGCCCGAGCCTGCGTCCCCGTGCCCGGCGGCCAGCGATCAGGGCTTCGTCTCAGGGCCCGGGCCAGGGGGCCGGGGCCGGGGCGGCCGCCGCCCGCAGACAAAGAAGCCAGCGCGGCTCGGCTCGGCCCGGGAGCCGGTCGGGACCCGCCGCCGCCCCGGGCCCACGGGCCGGGCCTCGCCGCGGGGTTCGGGGGGCCGCGCGGGCAGAGGGCGGGAGCGCGGGGGGGGGGCGGGCAGGTACTGTCTATGTTTTTCCTCTCCCCCCTTTGCACGCCCCCCCCTTTCCCTCCCCCTTTTTTCCCTCCTTCTGCTACTTGGGTTTTTTTAGCTGCTGCGTCATGAGCATAATTTATGCAAAGAGCTTTGCCGCATGCTGCACCGCCCGCGCCGGCCGCCGGGGGCGGCGGGCTGGCGAGGAGGGAGGGAGGGAGGGAGGGGCCGTGGGGAGCCCTGGCGAGGGTGGCGAGGGAGGGGACCCTCGGCCGGTAGCCCCGCAGGCCCCGGGGGCTCCGTCCTCGGAAGGGAGTGTAGGGTCGGCGGGGACGGGGGCCGCTGGATGGTGTTTCATTTTGGGGGGTGCAATAGGAGCGGGTCCCTGTGCCAGCTTCCCTTCGGCCGAGCAGGGACGGCGGGGACTCGCAGCGGCCGCCTTTTCTCTAAGTGGTCGACTGGCCTTCTCAGTGTTTAAAGTCAAGTTCAGGTTCAAGTCTAGGCGCCGGTCCCAGAAAGGAGGGGGAACTTGGACCCCACTCAGCCGGCGCCCAGCAGTTGTGCGGGGCTGCGTACTCGGAACGGACTGCGGTCCTGAACGCGCCCTCTTCTGCCTTGGCCCCAGGATGGACCGAGGGCTGCGTTGTCTAAGAACAACAGCTTCCTGGCCTTCTAGTCCGAGTAGACAAGAGAAATGGGAGAACAAAGTTCAGTGGAATACAATGTTCTGGTTTGGCTGTCTTGATGGTGGGAGGGGTTTTGCTTATTAAGTGGCTTATTTTTGAGACTGGGTCTCTGTATGTACTCCGGACTGGTCTAGAATGCGCTGTGTAGCCCAGGCTCTCCCCAAACTCATGGTGAACCTCCTGCCTTAGCCTTCAGGGCGCTGGGACGACAGGCTAGTGTCACTGCGCTTGACTAGTTAGTGGAAGATGGGACGAGCTAAGAAAAGGCAGATTTAGGCCGGGAATTTAGCTCAGCGCGAGAGCACCTGCCTGGCAAGTACCAGATCATGAGTTCCAGCCCTGGTACCAAAAAAAAAAAAAAAAAAAAAAAAAACCACACAGACTTGGGGGCTGAGGGAAAGCAGATTGGAGAAGTAGTGGGCAAGTGGAAGAGGAAGGAGTTGAAAGACCAAAAGAACAGAGAAAGAATGATAAGAATTGGGGAAGGGCAGGTTTGGTAAATCCTGTGAATGGGGGTTCCAACATTAAGACAGCCTGTCAGCCCAGTGTACCCCCACTTTGGGGAGGTTCTTGCTATGGAATTGGTACTCCTGCCTCAGTCTCCTGAGTGCTAGAATTAAAGGCCTGTGCCACCACACCTGCTCTAGTGCTCCTCCCCACTCCCGATTTTGATTTAATGACCAAGACAGTTGCTTAACACTCCCCCACCTTTGCAGGTGAGGTAATGAGGGGAGCAGCACCAGGTGGCTGCAGACCAACCCTACACACTTTTCTGAAGACTGTGGAGCTCACCCTCGCCCAGCGGCTCTGGTCATGGGCCCTGGGCTCCTGAAGCCTGGCATCACCATTTCCCAGGCCATCAGCACTGGCTTATCAGCTTGCCCAGTCATCTTCAGGAGAAGCCTGTGATAACCCTTGGGTTAGGAGCGTTCCAGCTCTTCCACTGGCAGTCTGGGCAAGTGATTTAACTTCATTTCTTATAAAAGGAGGATACACAGAAGGAAGGCTGAGGCAGGATCACTGCGAGTTTGAGGTCAATCTGGACTACCTAGTGAATTCAAGACCAGCCTGGACTATATAGCAAGAGCCTGTCTCAACAACAACCTCAAAAGTAATAAAAGTAGGGCACATTCACTCCTGTAATTCCAGCCATTTCCATTTGGAAGGTTGAAACAGGATTATTTTCAGCCCCAAATTTGAGGCCAGCCTGGGCAATTTATCAAGACCCTGTCTGAAAACAAAAACAAAACAAAGATCCAGGCACAGTGCCCCACACAAGAGGCTACGGGAGGATTGTGGGGCTCTCAAGTTCTGGGATTGCAGGACTGTGCCACCATTCCAGGCCCCCCTCCACACTTTCTTGACACAGGTTCTCCATAAATTGCCCAGGTTGGGCTTGAATTTGTGGTCCTCCTGCCTTAGGCTTCCAAAGTGAGGGAATTATGGGCATGTGTCACCAAGCCTAGCTCGTGAAGAAAAAAACCAAACAGACTTGGAAACCGTGAACCCTACACTCAGTTGTACATTATCCCCTGCAATAGTTTGAACCCACTGTAATGGGCCCCTAAAACACATGTGGTATTATCATGGGCTTGCTGTTTGGTCTGCAGTCTGTGGTCTCTCCCTCTGGATTAGAAATTCTTTGAGTGCATTGGTTGTGCCTTACTCATCTTTGTATGTCCTACTGCTCTTTATGCAAAAGGGTGCAGTATTGCTACTGAACTTTATCACAAGAACTTTGTGTCTTGGCTTGATGCTCCAAGTAGATCAAAGGCTCTGGGTAACATGGACCCTGGGTCTGAAGAAGACATGGGATGCAAGCAGATTTGATAAAATCAAATGGGGACTACAGTCATTAGGAAAAGGAAATCTTTCAGGTACATTGTATATACTTCTGCATTGTGCAAATACTTGAAAAACGTGTTTTTTAAATGTTTCATTTTTTTATTGGCATTTAAGGTATATACACTAAAGTTCACTTCTTGCCAGTTTGACATGTGAGTGTGTGTGTGTGTGTGTGTGTGTTCTGTGGTGCTGGGGATCAGACTCAGCTTCCTGCATACTATAAGCATTTTTATATAGAACTACACTCCCATGGCCCAAAAACATTTTATTTTTAATTCATGCATAGTAATTATACATATTTTTGGGTACAGCGTAACATTTCAATTTATGCATGCAATTTTTTGTGTAAATATAGGCACATTTCTTGGGCAGATGCAGAGGGATGGAATTTTTTAAAGAGAAAAAACAGAATTTCAAAACTAATAGGAAATTAACAATGGTTAACATATTGCATATTGCTCAGATTACAAGATATAGATATGCATAATTGATCAAAAATATAAGCACAAGGGGCTGGGGATTCAGCTCAGCGGCATAAGCACCTGCCTTGCAAGCAGGCGGTTGTGAGTTCGATCCCTGGTACCGATAAAAATGAAACAGATTATATATATATATATATATATATATATATTGGCACAAGTTGGGCGTGGTTGGGCTCACGCCTGTAATCCCAGCACTCGGGAGGCTGAGGTGGGAGGATCATTGTGAGTTTGAAACCAGCCTGGGCTACAAAGTGAGCTCAAGGCCAGCCTGAACTGCATAACGAGACCCCATCTCAAAAGAAGACCAAAAAAAAAGCACAAACTTTTTTCAATGAATGAAAAGAAATTACTAGTATGTATATATGTATGTATTTTTTTTCTTTTCCCTTCTTTTTTCCTTCTGATACAAGGGAAAGAAATGCCCAACATACTAGATGTTGAGTACAAGTTTGTGTTCTCTAAAATCGAAGAATGAATTTTAGGAACAGAGGTTAAGAACATAATGTATTTATTGAGGGAAAGAAGGCTGAGAGGGTGAAGGAAGGGGTCGTCCCGAGTGGGCTGACAAAGACTCTGTCTCTAGGGATTTTATAGAGCAAAACCCCAAAGTGAGGCTGATTCAAGGTGGGGGAAAAATGGGAACTCACAAGGTGGCATGAGGTGGGACAGAACTATGGTCAACCAATGAGATTAAGTGCTCAGGTGAAACCAATTACATCTGGGACAAATGGGGAAGTGAGTCACATAGCAAGTGGGCATGCATATAGAGCAGTGGTTCTTGCTGTAGGGGGTCAGGTTAGTGACTCGGGGCTTCCTCAGGGTGATACAGAACTATTTAGAATATCAAATCCCTGAGGTTTATACTTAGGGTGTGGTTGCATTTGTTTTTATCTTTTGTCTTGAGGTCTGACCCACAGTGGAGGTGTTTGTTTCTCCCACAGTTGCAAGGTATCTGGGCTTCTACACTGGCTCCTTCAAGGGCCTAGGCATGTCTGACTACCTATAATATTTCTAACCCAGCTGCCTGTAACACTTCCATCCATCCCAATTGTCTTTCTGTTTAAGCTGTTTCGTTCCCTTTCATAGTAGTTATTACAGATTTTGGATCTTATTTACTCTTTCAGTTTCCTACACTAGGGACAATACAATGTTTACACATGGTGAGTTTGATTTATTTCACTTATGCATATGGTCTCTAGTTGCATCCATTTACCCATAAAAGCCTTGAGTTTATCCTTCTTTATAGCTGAGTAGTACTCCATTGCATAAAAATTATCACATCCTTTTTATTCATGAAGAATGGAATATTTAGGGCTTGGGTACATGTTTAATGTTTGCAGGTACTGCTAAATAATTTTTCAGAGTGTTTGAACCAATTTATGTCATCAGCAGTAACGTAGGAGTTCTAGCTGTTCACCACCCTCACCAGCTGTTGGTACCAATACTTAGTACTGGCACTCTTCTTACAATAAATATATATTCCTTTTATGATTTTAAAAAGCCAATAATGGGGTCAGGGTAGGGGATATAGCTCAGTGGTAGAACACTTGCTAAGCTTGTGTCAGGACCTGGATTTCATAACTAGCACTGAAAAAAACCAACGTAAAACAAAACAAAAAGGCCAACAATGCAAACATTTCCATGAGTAAGGAGATGTTGCTAGCAGCTTCCTTTTGCTTCCCAAATAAAAC